CCCCAAAACCCCAAAACCCCAAAACCCCAAAACCCCAAAACCCCTAATCAAAAAATTGGTGTTGAAAATATTTAATTTGGAAAGATAAATCTGTGACGAAACTATCAAAATGCTTCTATTCAATCGACACAATATGCTTAGTGGTCTCAATGTCATTGTGGATGGCCATTATCAGATGATCAAGAGAAGAATAGTTAGATTCAGCCCTGATATAGTGAGTCAGGTTTATCTTCAAAGATTCGCCATAGAAATCGTTATCAAACTCTTCAAGGATGTACGCTTCGATCGTCCTATGACTGTTATCATAGGAAGGATTCCATCCAATTGAGATGGCAGTCCTTAGTTTAACAGAGGCGAAATTTTCACCGAATTTTTCCAAAAGTTCATCTTTGTTCGTTTCATAAGTAATGAATTCTACTGTTCCTGAGTAAACACCAGGGAGGAGATGGCTTATCTTGCTCATATTTTCACTTGAAAGATCAAGATTGGCTGTTGGAACTCCTAGCTCCTTACTTCCTCTCTTAAATCCATTGACAACCATTCCTTGTAGAAGGATCGAATCAATCGGTATGGCTCCTTTCCAGAATGGAAGCTCTGGTGTGTCAATTTTTCTATTAAGTTCTACTCTTAGTAGAGATCCCTCATATCAAGGAGCTAGCTTAGTTAATCCATAATTCTCGAAGGGGATGCACTCTATGTTTTTAAATGACTCTATCTCATCAATATTGTCTTGCTTTGGTTGCGACACATGGATTGTATTGACTTTCCTCTCAGTCTCCAAATTCTGGAACTTTGTTGAGTGAATTTGAGACCCATAAATGACCATTGTCTTATCACTCATTTGTGATTCTTCAGTCTGAGTGAACACCTCGTCAACATTTTTCACATCTGTAGTAAGCTCATCAAATTTAGAGTCAACTACTTTTGATAAAATCTCTTCTTCAAGGTAGGAAAACATGACAATTTTGGCATCAGAGACTCTCTTAAGTTCCTTTAGAATGTGAATACTTGGAACTGTTGGCTTCAGTGACTTGGAATAAGCCAAGAAGTTTGTGTACACTTCTTCTACTTCAGATTCTAGGGAGACCTCCTCTCCAAGGTCTAACTGAGTGAAGGTATTAGATAATATCTCTTTCGCTCCTTCTTTTATCGATTTACCATATAGAGACGCTATTTCTTTATTGCTGATCTCCTGCTTGAACTTGGTTTCAAGGTGAAATCTGATGCAACAAAATACCAGACTGTAGATATCCAGTACAAGTTCCAACTCGATGTAGAACGAAGTAATTTGATTGTAGGTTTGGGATTCCATATTTTTATTGCTAGGGTGAAATTATTCAATATATAGTGACGTCTCCGGGGTTTTGGGGTTTTGGGGTTTTGGGGTTTTGGGG